TCCTGAAGGAAAGCTTAAGACTGAACTTCTGAGTGAGTCTAACCAAGACCTTTTTTTCCATTTATGGGTGTGAGAAAAGTGGAGGAGACTGATTTTTTTTTAGCTCCCCACTGACTTCCTTAAAAAAATGATCCTGGTACTCCTGACTGTCAAAGTCACAGATTTATCTTTTCCTTTAATAATCTCTGCCTTCCATCCCTACCTCCAACCCTGCACTGCCCTGATTTTACATGACAACTCTCACAAGGCTTTGCAGTCTCCTGAAGTGCATTTCTGCATGCTGGGCGCTCTCCTCGGCTGTCAGCCCAATTCCCGAGTGCCAGGGCGTGTGCGGGGCACCTTCTCCTCCCGGAGGACAGGTGCAGAGGGAGCAGACAGGGACCCATCAGGCCAGCAGGCAGACAGCCGTTTGCTCCGGGGACATCTGAGGCTCACCTTTGGAGCAGACTAAAAAGCTTCAAATGTTCTATGTGACATTTAGTCACTCTTTTTTAAAGAAATGGCCTTATTTAGCTTCCACCTATATCCTCTCATCGTGCTCTTTACAGGAAGGATTTAAAAGTACAAAGCTGCTTGTTTGTCTATCCGCATGCACAGTCACATGCATGCAAACATTTTTAAAATTCCATCTGGCCCCTCCATCACCTCTGACCCCTACTCCTCCTTGACCACTGCATGTCCAGCCCCAAATCCCGACATACTGACTTAGACCTGAAACATCCGGCTTTCTCCTTTCCTGGTGCCATGGATGCTGTGGTCTTCTCCAGGCTCGGGACACACTCCTGAAGCCGAGATGCCCTCGCACCTGTTTGAGCCTCTGCAGGGCTGGCCTTCTCTGTCTCCAGCAAAGGAAAGTTATTCAGAGGTGGGTTTGTATAGATTCTACTCCATTTGGTACAGGTTGCTCCATCTTTTCCCATCCATTAGAGGCAAAGCAGGAGTATGAAGAAGCAGCTCTATGTTCAGGGTTACTTAGCTACTCAGGACAGATATACCCGGGGAACAAGGGACGGGCAGTCACAATCTAGTTGTGGAGCTGGGACTGGAATCCAGCTCCTCTCCTGTTGATGTGAATGGATCTCGGAGGACACTGTTCTCAAACTTTCTATTCCCTGGAATCTCCGAGTTTCTGAGATCTCATGATTCTACATGAATGAGTAAAAGAGGCCCACGCTTGTTTTTTCTTTGGAAGCAGAAAGCCTTTCCGGCTGGAAGGGTGAAAGTGCTGGGGGGATGAATGGTGGGTAGGCCTCCCACCCTCAGTTTTCTCTATCCCCCTGCACCACCACTATCCGCGAGCTGGTTGGGACAGAATGGTGCAGCAGACTTCCCACCTCCGTATGGGATCTCTCTGCCCTGCTCCCCTCCTAGGCCCTGATGGACCTCACTGACCCTCATACATGGCCCCAAGTTCAGCCCACCCATCTCTTCTCTCCCTTAGCAAGAACCCAGGCCCTGGAGTCGCTTTCCTTATTTAAGGCTACCCATGATGTTGCCCACGGATTTACGGGCAGGACCCCCTACTGAGCTGTAAGAGAGTTTACACTATACTAGGACTAGCTTCATTGAGACCCTTCTAGGATTGTCTGCTCCATAAGTGCAAGACGTTAGGATGAAGCATCCACTCCGTGAACCCAACTCGACTTCTGCCCACCGACTTCTATTGGCTCTTCCCTATCATCAGGTCTCTTGGGCTCTGGGTCCTTATTTCCATCTCATCATTGGATGGACCATTTTCTCTGGGATGTCCTGCTGGCACCCCCAACCTGGCAGCAAGGCAGCCGTAGTGTGGGTGTTTCTCTCTCTCTCTCTCCCCTCACCCTACTCTGTCTTTTTCGTAGATCTTTATGGTAACCTCTTAACTGCTCTTCCTACCTCTGAGTCCTCTCCATTCACCCCACTTTGCATCTTTCTCACATTTGCCTTCCTTACACGCAACTGTGATCTCCACTTGCTCCAGAATGTTCAGTCCCTACTTGATCCTCTGGTCTCAAGGCTTTTGTGACCAGGTGTCACAAGTGTTTATTCCATCCTGTTCTGAACTTCTGCACATCTCTTCTCTTAGAATTTCCTCTGCCTGTATCCATCTGGAAAATTCTTGTTCACTCACCATGTAATCCACTCAGGTCACTCCAGATGGAAGTTTTTCCTCTTTCTCTATTCTTTTAGTCTTTGTTTGTTCTTTGGGGACACTTCTCCATCTAGCAGCCAGCAGTGTCTGGTGCATAGTCATTATTCAATGACTATGTTCAATGAGTGTTTACCAGATCAATGTGCACACAGGTCAAAAGGCCCAGAGTGCTAATGCTAACATTTTGGACCCAGGAGAGACTAGAAGGGAGAGACTTTTGGGGGATGGTGACCTGCCTGATGTCCAACAGTTTATTCTAAGAAGTATAGCTTCACTCAATCTATGTGTCAGCTGACCCTGGCTGCCAGTGTGGAATGATCATGGGGAGATGTCTTTCCTCACTATACTCTCACTTAAGAATTGATCCAGTGGTCTCCTCATGCACAATCTGAGTTTTTTTCTGTTTAACCTGAGGAGGCTCACTGAATAGCCTAGCACACTTAGTAAAGATAGGGAAGGTGGATGTTCATTGCCAGGTCCAGCTCCTTTAAAAAAAGTATCTTAATTCCTTTGTGTAGTTGAGAAACAATGTCCAAGAGATTAATAGTGCAGAAGGTTTCATGTGCATTCCCCCATAATGGATGTAGCACTGTAGAGGGTTCTAGTGGAACAACACTGACAATAAGCCAAAACACACAAAAAAATTATAATTTATTTGGAATAACAGCAAAAATAAAAGCAGCTTTGGGCCAGCCCTGGTGGCCTAGTGGTTAAGTTTGATGTGCTGTGCTTTGATGGCCCAGGTTCGGTTCCTGGGTGTGGACCTACACTACTCATCTGCCAGTGGCCATGCTGTGGCAGTTGCTCACACACACAAAAAGTAAGATTGGCAGCAGATGTTAGCTCAGGGAGAATCTTCGCCAGCAAATAAATAAATTAATTAAATTAAAATAAATAAATAAAGGTAGCTTTTCTTCTCAACTATTTCTCAACTATTGCCTTAAGAAATGCAAAAAATGAAGAAGGTCTGTTGGGAAATTCAAGCGCTTTAGAAATTCTTTATCCTTACTCTCTTTACAGATTTTACCTATAATCAGTGTTTCTCACTCACTCACATCTGGGGCTGGTACTACACTTGCAAGTGTATGAGTTTACCTGCGCCCATGAAATAGGGACTGTTCAGGGGCTTGTCACCCTGTTCTGACACACCGATGTGGCAGGAGTTGTATTTCTTCCAGAACACCTTCCCCTGGTTTCTGACAACTCCAAAGACACACAATTCTTCCTCCCTTGACGTGAATCCAAGACGCCCCTCACCCAGGGTGACAGCTTTTCATTAATCTTATTTCTTTCGGGTTGGATAGTTTACGGTGTTCAGCTGTTGCCCTCTGCACTGAGGTGGTTCTTGAATGTCCTCACTCACTCCACATAGAAGTTGTGGCTTATTTTAAGAACAGCGTCAAGCATGGATCCCGCAGTCAGCACAAAATACCAGCAGATGCTAATTTGCAGATCTTGTGAAGGAAGGGAATAGATATTGGGAGAATATACAAGTTTTTGCCTTTGACAAAGGTCTAACATCCTACTTATGATGGATTTGCCTGCTGGATTAGCATAAAAACTGAATTTTTCATATGAAGTACTATATCCATCATAAATAGGTTATCCATCTCTCTCTCAGTAAGATGAGGTTGAGTACTGGTGGCTGTGGACACACTCCTGGCAAGCACACTGTTAATGCTGTCTTCATCCACAGCTGCCCTGGCCTTGGGGAAACCAGCACAGAGCTGGAGCAGGAAACCGGCGCTCCGCCTTCAGATGCTGGGCTCTGTGAAAATGTACTCTGTGTGTCCCATACATAAGGAGATTCAGATAATGTACTTTGCTCATTAAGACCTAGAAACTTGCTGCGTATTTGTTTTTAAAAATCACTGAGGAAAAGAGCCAAAGCCATTTTAAAAGTCATCACCGGAACCCCATAAAAAGTTGATTATTAACGCCGGGGGTATATCTTTCTCTAGGACCGGGTTCACTAGTATCACTTATTAGCATCTGGATGATCCCAGGCTTTTAGGTCTTACTTGAATCTTATATTGAGCAGCTGTTGAAGTGAAAATAAAGTGAAATAAAATATAAGCCACCTTTTGTGCCTTAAAACCAAAAACACTGAGATATATGATGTGGGAGTATTTGTGAGCTTGTGCAGTTACAACTTGAATTCAGGGTCAAGAAAATGGTTACACTGCACGTGGAGGCACATGTGATGTCTCAAACAGAAGCAAATTTGAGATTTGCTTTCAGTGCCAAGTGGGTGGCTGCCTGGCTCAGCATTCTGAAATGCCCGGGATACCCGCGTTGCTGGTAAAGCCATCACAAGCTCCAGAAATGCCCAAATACGACTGAGATCCGAGCTCTGAGCAGTCTCTGTTTGCACTGCCAGCTAAGCCTCCTCCCTGTGTTCCCCAGACTACAGGGCTGGGAGCCGTGAACACCCGAATCCTCTAAACAAGCAGTTCAAAGAGGACAGAAGATTTGAAATCTCTGTGCCGTTTCTGCTTTGGCAACTACACTGCAGGCCTTCAGAAGGGCCCAGCCCTGGGCCCCACCCCTGAGATAAGTTTCCATTTTGTTTTCCAACAAAACAGGAAGTAGAGACGTCTAAATTCTTACTGACGTCTAAAATCTTGAAGGCTTGATTTTAGAACCACTAGTGGTAAGGCTGGAAGATAGAGAAAAACAGTAATATAATCTGGTGCATTTTCCTTCTCATTTAAAAATCTACTTGGAATGCAACTGAATTAATCAAACATTTGAAATGTGTTTGATTAATGAAACGTATGAAGTGTGTTTTATTTCTACATATGAAAAAAAGTTATTCTGCTTCACTGAAGTGAAAAGGAATGTATCAATTAAAAGGAAATTTAATAGATATTATTAGGTAATCATTCTGAAGAATAATTTGATTCTTGACCTCATGTTTAAGACAGTCAGGCTTCTGGAAAGCTACAAAAGCTCTCTGTCCACAGACAAGTGTCTAACGTCAACCTCATCATATCTTGTTGCGTCCTGAGAGAAACAGAATCCAAATGGATATTGGCCAGTGTGCTATTCAAGATGTCAGATCATCTGTGTGTTTGGTCAGCGTATCCGTGCAAGTGGTCCTGACTTCATTCAGATTGCTGGTCAGTGTCTGAAGGTGGTGAGCTGTGTAACTGATGTTGCTGATGATGTTCACAATATCCGTCTCAAAGAGCTGGAAGCGTTCTTCCAGCTGGCTGAACTTGATGGCCATTCTGTTCTCCGCATCCCTGTGTACATCCTGCAGGTCTTTCAGGTTCTGCTCGTTGGCTTGTGAGGCCGTGGTGATGTTGTCCATCTGACCTGTGAATGAGCTGAGCTGGCTGTTCATATCCTCCAGGGTGTCGTTGTTGGCTTTGGCCAAGGCAGAGTTATTGGCAGCCAGCGTCTGCAGGCTCTGCACTTTCTCCTTCAGCCAATCAGTGTCCTTCTTGGCTTGAAGGAAAACCTGCTGTAGATTTTGGAAGTCGTTCTTGATTCGCTGGATGGCCTGGCTCGTGTCATCCACAGACCGCTGCAGGTTAGAGATGAGGTTCCTCTGCTGCACCTGGGTCAGGTTCAGGTTGTTGAGGTTCATAATGACCACGTTGTGAGAATACATTTGGCTCTGCAGATTGCCCTGCAGCACGCTGGTATCTTGTTGCAGATTTGTGACGTAGCCATTGTACGCCTGCAGGGTTTTGTTCACAGTGGTGATGAGGAAAGTGTTATTCTCCAGAGTTTCTTTCAGTTGACTCTGCCTGTCCACCAGTACATCCCCACTCGCCTGCAACTTCTCCAGCGTATCTTTGTTCCTGCTGGTCTTCTCTGTGATCTCACGAAGTTGTTGTCGAAGATCCAGAATGTGTGATCTGAAGGTGGAGAGCTCTGAGTTGGCGCTTATAGCTTTCTTCCCAGTTTGGTCCCCTGGAATAAGGCACGTTTGTTACTTAGATTGGTGGTATGGACAAGTGTTCAGGTGAGGTCAAAGGTCCCAACGAGACTTAACTGTTATGCACGGTATTTCAGATATAAAATTTGTGGGATACACCGACTGCTCTGCATTAGTAAAATCCACATATCTATTAAAACTGAGCCCTGAGGAATTGGAAGGGGTGCTGAGAACTAGGACAGACTAACTTGGGTCAACACTTTTCTCAAAGAAGGAGGGAAAGATACCCGATTCTAGAGCACTGGGCAGGGTGTCAAGGAAATAACCTACTGTTGGTTAAATTCACCAAAATTCCTTTCTAAAAAATGAAAACAAAAATCAAAGGATAGAATAGGCTGGAATCTTTCATTTTTAAAATTAATCTCTACAATTCTTCTATGCAATTTAAAATAATTCAAATGGGAATTTACTGACCATTTTATAAAACAGTTTTTAATAAATGGTATTTGTTGTTCCTTTTAATCAGGGCTGGTCTTCAGATTTTATTTGGCACATAATAGGGTTTTGGGGGGAGGAAGTTGAACTCCAAAATTGGTCCTTAACCTTAAAAGTCTTTGAATTAAATCATAAGGGAAGATTCATACAACACAAAAATGTAATGTCCTTCTGGGTGAATGTGAGGTTACAGCAACATCATTCCAAAAAGCTGTCGTCATTTATACAAAGCAGTCAGGGGATTCAACTTTACAGTGACTCTCATTGCAGATTACCTAATTTTCTCAAGTCATTTTCCACTGCTGTGAGCTTGTCGCCACAGGTTTGGCGAGATGTCTCCATGCCACCTGTGACACTGTCCATTTTCTCTACAACTAAGATTTGGAAATCAATGCATTAATAAACATACCTTCTCAAATTTTATTTTTATTTTTCAGTTTCAACAAGAGATTCTTTCATTACAGAATAAAAGAAACATTGAAACAAAGAGTATAAATGAAATCAAATATGGGGGAAAAGCCATTCTTTTAGAAAAATAACTTGTCACAAAACCTAGTGGTAGTTACTTGTAAATCGGAGAATTGTATGTTTTTAACTGCTCTCATGATGCGGTATTGCCTTGGATGTTTTAGAAATTGTTGGAACTGACTTGTAAATTTTTGTGTATATAGAAGTCCTCAATCTGTACCATTTCCTATGTTAATTTCCACAGATGGAAGCATAACACTGTGACCATTTACAAAATTTCATCACTTCTCAGACTCCCTACCATTCCTGGCAGGTAGGACTCACTCACCTAGAGAGAGATTCCATGATGAAGAATGCCTAGCTCGAGTCAATACGCAGTCCTCGTAGAAGGGGTGCAAAGTCAAGAGTGTCTGCCCCTCTCTGTCATGAGTTCCACCACTGAGGCCTGGAAATCTGCTTCTCCTTAGGGACAAGGGAACCTGTAGTTTATCAGTTCCCAGGAAGATGCCTCAGTGGGTTTCCAAACAATGATTTACCAATAAGGCTTTTTTTTTTTTTTTTTTTTTTTAGCATTTTCTCAATTATACATGAGAGGGAAAGTTAGTGATGTGGTGGTGTTAAACAAAAGCTTCTTTTCTTATTCACTCTCAGAAGGCAGTAATTCTCTATGGTTATGAGTTCAAGTTGATCTTTCTAAAATGTCTAATAAGAGTGTATTTCTCCTTTGGGATCCAACCTCTAGCAGCTTGGGAGTATGTCTGACTATTCTTCTTAGTATGAGCAGATTTTTTTTTTCTGCTTTATCTCCCCAAATTCCCCCGGCACACGGTTGTATATTTTAGTTGTGGGTCCTTCTAGTTGTGGCACATGGGATGCCACCTCAGCGTGGCCCGATGAGTGGTGCCATGTCTGCACCCAGGATCCGAACCAGCGAAACACTGGGCTGCCGTAGCGGAGTGCACGAACTTAACCACTCTGCCACGGGCCGGCCCCCAGATTTTTTTAAATAATGGGTTTTTAAAAGCATATTCATGCTTTGTGTATTAACTGTGAGCCAGTGGATCCAACTTATTGGATTCACCCAGTGTTCCTCCCACGCATGACTGTGTGAGGAGATTTTCCGCGCTCCCACCAATAAGAAGAAGTACACCCCCACGGGTCTGCAGGAGCGGAGTAACAGCTCCTCCGCTACCGCACCGTGCCTGGAGACTGTCTCGGCTCTCCCTCGGCTTCTACACTCTGGCCTTTATGAGATGTGATCGATGCACCAAGTGCTCTTTCTCACCTGAGCATTTTCACATGTTCTCCTTCCCACCTAGAATGTTCCTCCCTGGCCTCTTCACCAAGCTAAGCCCTACTTGCTCTTCAAGACCCAGCTCGTCACTTCCTGTGGGACACCTGTGCCTGAATGCGTCTTGCCGACCTCTCTCGGCAAGGAGTCCCCTCCCTATTGTGGGACTTCTTCACTGTGTTGTCGTGGCTTGGTGACTAGAAGATCTCTTAAGGCAGGGAAATTTGCCTTCAGTTTTATCTCCAGCTCTTGACTCAGTGTGTGGCATTTAGTAGTTGTTCAACACATACTTACTTATTATGCCATTTATTTAAATAAATGAGAACCTGCCTGCTGGCTGCCGAGGCCTGTGAAAAATCGGCCGAGCCAGAGGTCATGCAAACACACACACAAACCCACCAGCCCAGGGAAGGCTCGGCACCGGAGGCAAGTGTGACATTGAGCTGAATAATTATTGTTTTTAAAAAAATGACTCTGTAGCCACAGAGGTATAGTTACAGTAATCCGCACCTCAGGGTTGTTTGATAGGTACTCCTAAGTCCTTGGGAACTCTGAAGAACAAGATGTTTCAGCTGCATTTCAGCAAAGCTACACTTTTAAAAAATAAAACACAGAATGTTTCCAAGTTTAGGTTCAGTTCTGATGCTTAAATCAAGTCTGTCCTCAAACCACACGCAGGCTCTTAAGTCCTCCCTTTTTTCCTGGAAGCCAAAGAAACCTCTCACCATGCTGACTACCCTCTCTGATTTTAATTCCATGTAAGTTTTAAAAAACACAGAATAGTCACGGACAGACAATTCAGGTTAGCATAGAGTAAAGAAATAAACACATTCACCGAAAAAAACCAAACCTGTTAGGTTTCTCTCCTGGGCAGCAAGGAAACTATTTGTGCCACCCACAAGTGCTAATAAACTAGTTACATGCTCTGGGGCGTTGTGTGTCTGTGTTTAAAAATAGGATTTTGGTATAAAGCTGCAAACTTTAGGGTCGAAAAGCTGGCAGCTTCCCACTGCAAGTCGATCTCCATTTGTAGATGGTTCTCACATGAGGAAAATGGACGTGAAACACAGAGGGTTACTAGCTGTCTGCTTCTTCACGGGCTCCCCTTTATTGGAAACTGTTTCTTGACAGAGCTTTTCTTCAGAATATCAGTGCTTCAGGTTACACCTGAAGAGCTGTCCCTCTTCAAATTCCCAAAGCCAACTCTCTGGGATAATCTGACAAGAACACCTCTTCTGTAAAAGCACTTTGTATCGTCCCTTAGCCTGGACCACTAACCTCCTCCTCCCTGTCTTGATTCCACTCATCCTTTAAGGTCCACTCCAGCCCTCCCCCCACATTGTGCTAAGCCTTCCCTGATGGCTTGATTTCCTACCATACCGACTGAACCTTTATCTGAATGGCAGTAGGAACAGCCTCTATTTATTGAGTGCTTACTCTTTGCAAGGTGCACTGCACCACACTGCAGTTAAACCTTATAACTCCTCTTTAACAGACGAAGAAGCTGAGGCTCAGAGATGTTCAGAAACTTGCTCACAGTCACACAGCTCGGAAGTAACTAAGTGGGATACTAGGCCAGGAGCCCTAACCCCAAAATCTATACTTTCTCTATAACTCCGCATTGCCTCTCATTTAGTATTTCTTTTCCCTAAATCTGGTTTTTTGGCCACAAGGTAGACATTTGATGATTAGGAATCTTGAGTCACAAGAGATTCTTATTGAGAATGATCCAGATTTCTACCTTTCTTCTTTGTTCTAATTACCTCAAGAAGGATGCCTGCTGGGCAGGACAAGTGGGGGGAATTTTCCTGTTCAGGGAATGTTCTGGAGGAAACTTGACCCATTGAACTTAGAAGATGGCTTTTGACATGGAAGCTCCGTTGACTGAGATAAAAGGCCCAGTGCAGAGGATGCATCATGCTGTAACTGTCCAGGAATGTGCTTTCTGTAAAGTGGCTGACGTGCCTCCTGGTCACAGCCACTGTACAGACCTGTCTGCGTGACTCAGCAGTTCTCTGACTTGTTCAGCAAATTCTCTTGAAGGAACTGAAGTTTTATCCTAACTTGTAGCTGTGTAAGTGACATAAAAGGAGAAGCAAAGGACAGTTTTGAAGAAAACGGTATGGAGTTGCCTTTGCTAACTGATAAATAAAGGAGTTTCTATTTCATTTCCTTTCAACTTCTCCTTCAGAGAAACATCTTGTTTCACTAAATATTTTTTTTGTTTTTGTTTTTGTTTTTTTTTTTTAGGAAGATTAGCCCTCAGCTACCATCCGTGCCCATCTTCCTCTACTTTGTATGTAGGACACCTCCCACAGCATGGCTTGACAAGCAGGGCGTAGGTCTATGCCTGGGATCCAAACCAGTGAACTGCCAGCCACTGAAGCAGAACGGGCGAACTTAACCGCTGCACTAGGGACTGGCCTTCTTTTTTTTTTATTTCTCCTTTTTTTTTTTTTTTTTTTTAATGGAGAGCTTCTCTAGACTGCAAAGGGAGACGTGTGAAGGGAGACTGGGTCTTGTCTTTCTGCCTCTTACAATGTTGGGTCACGAGAATCTCCTCAGCAAGAAAGAGGAATCATGTACAAGCAAGGAGAAAACACATCTGGAAAACAGCAACATTTCACTTCATTAGGGTTGTGTTTGGAAACCAAAACTGCATGTTGTATTATCTTATTTTTGTCAGCAGAGGCCTGAGGGACGGGGGCCTTGAAGGGGGGAAAGAGGGGCGAGAACGCCATTCGCCTGCACTTGTCTTGCTCCCTCAGTCTCTCCTCCCTCCTCCTGCTCAGTTACACCCACAGGGCGGGCCCAGCGGATCCTCAGGATGTTGGGTGTCCAGGTAGGGCCTTGAGGTGCGGCGATTGTGACGGGTCCCCGGGCCTAGATTTGACTGCCTTTCCAGAGGTCCGTCCTAATCTACAACTCATGCATCCATCCATCCTCTCATCAAATTATGCAGTAAACTTTATTGGGCACCTATTAAGTACCATGAGGCTAAGGGCTAGTGGGACACAGAACAGATAAAAGATAGTCTTTTGCCTTCATAGAAGTTATAGTTTGGGTCGTGAGACAGAGAAGCCCACTGGCCATAATGATACAGTGTGAAGGGGCTAAGAGTAAGTAAAGGTGCTAGGAAACTAATGGGGGGCCCAACTCAGCCTTCAGGGGCTTGTTGCAGGACACATGTCTGAGACATGAGGGAAAGGAGTGATTCAGGTGGACAGCAGAGAAGAAGTGTTCCAGGCAAAAGGACCAGAACATGCAAAACATGTCAGAGCCGAGAACGGCTTTCCAATGTTGTAAAAATGGGGGAATATCTGTACTTTCCAAAAGAGAAAAAGAAAAAGAAAAAAAAACCCCAAACCCTCTCTTTTGGATTTTTCCCTTCCTCTGTCTTCAACATTAGCAAAGTAAGGCCAAGTCCTCATGCTGCCATGTCTATTGATTCTTTTCTGCCTTCTTCCACTTTTATGAACACTTATGACTACATTGGAGCCACCTGGATAATCCAGAATACTCTCCCTATTTTTAGGTCAGCTGGTTGGCAACCCCAATTCCATCTACAACCTTACTTTCCCCTTGCCATTAGCAGAGCATATTCCCAGGTTCTGGGGATGAGGGCTTGGTAGACATCTCTGGGCAGCTATTATTCTGCCGACCACGAGGGGCAGAGCCCAAAATGTCTTCTCACTGGGTGGATTTTCCAGGCATGATAGGTTTATTCCTCCCCTACCACCTGTCCAGAAAAGTGATGGAAACACATGCAAATGCCCTACAGCCCCTGCCTGACTATTCTTGATAAACAGGCCACCTGTGCTCCTCTGAGAAGACAGTGTCTCCTCTGTTGGGCTGGCTGTGGACCGTCTGGTTAGGGTAGGGACACCAGAGATAGAAGAGTGTAAGGGTGTAACACACGCTTCTTTGATTGCTATTTTGTTTTTGTTTTTAATTTTTGCATTTACAGGGCACCCTGGACATCCAGGTGATCACCGAGGTGCAGGTGGTATGGAGGGACAGGGCGAGGGGGCCCATGAGCCATCTGCGAGCAGGTGCTGGTCCTGGGGTGTGTGAATGGGGAGGAACCTGAGGCTGAACTGGTGGAAGCCCACATTCTTAGCAGATGGAGGGGGAGGGAGTTGCAGTGGTTGGGAAATTATCTGGATTTCAACTTGTCTGAGTCACTACTACTCCTGTGCACATTTGAACGTAGCAACCCATGTGTAAAGTTGCCACACAATGTGAAAGATGGAGGGGGGCACGATTTTGTTCTAATGAACACATTCTGAATATTATTTCTAAACAATTGATATCTATTTAAAACGTCAGGCAAAAATTATTCAATATCATCCCAGCATTGACATATTTAGTCTACTGCCCTGATGCTTTTCCTGAATATTTGGTGAATTTGGAGCCTCAGAATGGAACACCACACAAAACACCTGACTTATAAAAAAAGTCCACGGGACCCCAAAACAGACAATCCTGGTAACAATGGCTGTTCTCTGCTCCTGGAACAACTGGGTGGGAAGGACGTAATGCATTGTTTCCTGGCTTCAGTTTCTGATAGCGTGAGGTAAGCCCCTCCTATATAGAGGCCAGTTATGCAATGTTGTGGCAACTTTGAGAATTTGATTCAGGTGTTGCCAGCTGCAGCTGATATAATTGGAAAAGAGTCAGCTAAAAGGAACCTATTGTTTTTTACACACAAAAAGCCGTGGGGGCTGGACCGGTGGTGCAGCTGTTAAGTGCACAGGTTCCACTTTGGAGGCCTGGGGTTCACCCGTTCGGATCCTGGGTGCGGGCATGGCACCTCTTGGCAAGCCATGCTGTGGTAGGCGTCCCACATGTAAAGTGGAGGAAGATGGGCACGGATGTTAGCTCAGGGCCAGTCTTCTTCAGCAAAAAGAGGAGGATTGCCAGCAGATGTTAGCTCAGGGCTAATCTTCCTCAAAAAAAAAAAAAAGCCATGTATAATTAATATATACAACTTGATGAGTTGTATATATCGTATATATTGTATATATACGATATATACAATGTATATATTGGAGATAAGTATACACCCATGAAACTATCACCACAACCTATGCCATACAACTATCTATCACCTCCAAAAGTTTCCTCCTGCTCTCTCATTTATTATTATTTGTGACAAGAATGCTTAATATAAGATCTAGCCTCTTAGGAAATTTTTAATTATACAATATGGTATTGTTAACTATGGGCACTATGCTGTACAGCTGATCTCTGGGACTTATTCATCTTGTATAACTGAAACTTTGTACCCTTGACCACCACCTCCTTGTTCCTCCCTCCCCTCTGTACCTGGCAACCGCCATTCCACTGTCTGCCTCTATGGGTTTGACCATTTTAGCTTCTTCGTATAAGTGGGATCATGTAGTATTTGTCCTGTGTCTGGCTTATTTCACCTAGCATAATGTCCTCCAGGTTTGTCCACATCGTCACAAATGGCAGGATCTTAGAAGGAGCCCATTTTATTTTTCACGTCAGAGGGGAGCAGCCTTTTACTTGGCCTAGTGGTCAATGAGAGATAAGTCCAAGGAAACACCAGTCCTACAGTTGCCCACACGGCAATTCTCACTTCTGAGACGCTGTGTCCCAGCCACTCCACAGAAGCCTGAAGACGGTATCTCCTTCTGCCTTAAACATAAAGCAGCATTGTTTTTCCAACATGGAATATCAGGGGGCCTGAGTGGTACTGGTAGAATACCAATTCTTATCCTTTACAGAAATTCCTATTTCTATAGTTTTGGGTTTGTCTATGAGCATTTTCTACGGTTTTGTGCATAAATGTTATGATATGGAATTACAGCAGTGATGTCAAGAAGGTCATGGAAGGCACGACATGTGACCTGTTATATGTGACACTAGGCTTCTTCCCAAATTGGGAGTTGAGGAGCCTAGACTGATTTTAAAGAAATCCCATGATGCTCAAGCAGAATAAAGCTGAGCACCCACACGAGTTTTAATAAAGGAGGTAACTGGTTTTTTTTCAAGTTCTCAGTCTACTAACATCTTCTTTTCAGCTTTGAAAATGTGCTTTATAAAGAGAGAACAGCCTCACAGAGCTCTTGACCATGATGGAAGAGAGATGGTATTTGGCAGACTTCAAAGCTTCTTCTACGACGCTCTGAAACTTTAATTATCCATAAATTGTTACTCTCAGAAACACTGCACAATGACTTAGAAATGTCTATCATTTCCAAAGTTAAACAAAAATTAACTTTAATATAGGCATCTAAGTAAAAATAATATTTCTGTACTTGCCTTTGTCTTGTTTTGGTAAATCCTCTATTGCATTCAGCGTCTCAGTAATCGTTGTACTGACACTTTGATAAATGGAGACACTGAAATTACAAAACAGCTGGAAGAAGCTGGGAATGTCCCAACTTTGCACAAGATCCACTTTTTTCATGGGCTCTTTGGATAAGGCTGGAGAAAAGTAAGGCTCAATTAAGTCTGTATCTGACATGAAATATGATTGAAAAGCCTGGTCAAATATTTGAAGATTGTTAAAACTCCTGTTTTAGAAAAATCTCACGTCCACAGTTAATCAGCTGAATACATTCTCTATTTGGGTCAGTTGTGCATCTTCTTCAACAACCTTCTCACCAATAGGGAGATCTTGTTCATTATCTTCATGGAAAGGAAACACTGATATATTTTGATTGATATATTTTGATATATTGATATATTTTTGATATATTTTCCTGAAAAACTGTTCAACCTGTGGGGTGGGATGGGGGATAGAAATGGAATAAGAAATTAATTTTCTTTCTGGACCATTTCTTACTGTAAAATTTAAAGTCAACTTACAGTAGTCATTTTGAATCAAAAACAATTCTGGGCAAGCAATTCTGCCCGAAAAGGTGACTCACTTTAAGATAATTTATTAACACTCTGTTACCTGGCTTTGACTTTGACTCTGGAAATAGCATCTGAAATTCCTCCTGGCTCGTGTTTGCCTACCAAAGCCCTAAAAAGGCCAAGTTTGCAATATTGTTGACAAGCCACAACCTGATGTACTGGCGGTGGTTGGCATGCCATGGTCTAAAGGGCGCCGTGTAGACTGCCCAAAAACTGTGAAGAAGGCTCTTGTCTTTCACCCCTGTCTTAGGGTTTTAGGGTTTTTTTCCTTTAGTGGAATGACATTAGTGTCCTTATCCTCTCCTCTTTCTTGTCTCATAAATTAGTTCATGGAAAGGAAAGATCAACACATTCACACCGAACTACAGATGCTTGCTACAGTTGAACAGGTTACTTAGGCATGGTTACACGTTAGCAGTGATCAAAGCCCTCCTTGGCTGTAGTGGAAGGAATAAAGCTCTAACTGTAGAATTTCCCTCAGTGGGAAAAGATTTTTGAGCAGTCACACCATGCTCTGCTTCATCTATATGACACCTAAGTTCATGCCAGAACATGGTTGCCCTTATATGATAGTGATATGGCCTCACTGAGTGTTATGGAACATTATTAACTATCAAATATCACCTCTGTGGCATCCCAGTGCTGTTCAAAGAATTCTCTAGAATTCTTAGAGGACTCATGCCTTTCTCAAAAAGTAATCTGGGTGGATCATCTGCCTCTCCCCTCTGCCAGCTTCTGTTTACCTGAATCCATCCACTAAAACAAAACTTTTAAAGTCCCAAGAAATTTTCATAAAGTCACACAACTGGCACAGATAGGAATGGTCCCCAAATCTCCTGACTTCCAGCCAGTGCTCATTCCACCATAGTCTGCTGTATTAGAGAGTAACAGCAGCTATAAAAATAGAGCAGATGCAATGAACAGTGGAGGCAAATTAACTTGGCATATGAGTTATCCTAGGCATTGATCCCTCTATAACTGGGTACAGCACTGCCATGCCAGCAGCACACTCTAATTAGTGCACGCTCTAATATGCAGAGGAAAGCTTCACTCCATTTTCAGCTCACTTCTTGAAGGGGAAGGGAAATTCAGGCCAAGAGAATAGGAGCCTTTTATGGGGCAGAGCTCATCCTACTCAGGTCACCACCCTCTGAGATTCCCTCTGCCCAGATGATAGCCAAAGGGGACAAAAAAGAAAACCTGCCTGTCCTACAGGACACACATGGATCTGGGTAAAGGGGACATGAATGTGTGCATGTGTGTGTGCTGCCACAAGAGGGCGGGTCTAGTGAAGGAAAGACTGAGGAGGCAGAGAATGTCTTCAAATGTTTGGCCTCCAGGGGAAAAAACGAAAGCAGGTGGAATTCAGAGACTATAATGCTATTATTCAGAACGCAATTCAGCAAACTCTTATTAGATAACTACAATGCTTAAAAGAAGACAAATAAGATAGGGTCCCTGCCCTTAAAGAGCTTACAATCTAGTGGGAACATCTTCACAAATAATAAACACAAGGCAGATGGGTCAGGATATTTCTGAGAGAGATACACAGGGCGTCATTAAAGGGAGGGACAAACGCTGCATGGCTGTTCTAACTTGTAACTGAATATACACGGGGATTCACACCTGAGCACGAAGGTTAGCTTCTAGACTGCAAAAGGCCAGAATCAGATCAGGCATCTCTCATCTAAATAGTAATATAAATTAAATGTTTTTTTTAAAAGCAAGCTGAAGTAGTTACCTTAAGAACTCTGAAATCTTGAGTTCTATTTCCCCTTACTGTATTTTTCATAGAGGTCCAACGAGGTTGGCAGGCTGTATAAAATCTCAGGCAGCTACTTTCCAGGCAGGACTTGCATTTGCCCCAGGAATCTGCCAAAGACGCCTGGCACAGCCTTTCTTCCTCTTCCAGATGTTCCTGAACTTCATTCATAAGCTCCAGGGCCACCTAATTACAAAGTAGAAACAAACATCCTATTTCCATTTCATAAATCTATGTGTATCTTTGTTGATTTCACTCTTTAAAAAATGTGTGGATTCTAAAGTAATTCTTCATTCTTTCTTCAGGCCCCTAGCAGCTGACAGATTTACTCCAAAGCTTCCTGTTGGATTAAGAAAAGAGCACTGATGGATCCCTACTGAAGATTGTGCAAATCTTATCCATCTGTTCATTCATTCAGGCAACAGCTGTTTATTGAGTGCTTGCCCTGGGACAGACATACGCTGGATGTGGGTGAACCAACAGTGAAGACAACAACAAAGTAGGAACCAACAATGGTCCTTACTCTGGGGACGACTCTAATCTACCTGCTCACTTATCTGTCTTCACATCTAGTCCTTCCAGGATGTGGAAAGTGGGTGTTAAGGCTTATAAGCTGACACATTTATTCCCTTCATTGATGCTGCGTTTAATTACTGTATGTTCTTAAACATTGCCAGAAAGCACAGTTCTCATGTGTACATCAAATCAAATCTGCCCCTTGAGTTACGATCTAATTGCAGAGATGCTGTAGTCTGTCTTCATTCCTCTCGTCCATGTTCCGAGCATGCCCCCTGGTGGTGCCTTGCTGTACGTGGCCAGGTCTTGCTCTGGGTGTAAGGAGCCCAGGAGAAGCGACCCCTGCCCCTGAGGACCTCAGTCCTGCCCCCAGGAGCTCCCCCCAGGCCGGCAGCCCTGCCTAGACGCCCGGCCTCCCTGCAAGTGTGGACTTCTGCAGACGGGCTCCCGCCAGCCCTGAGATGTAGTTCAGAGGAATTACCAGGGATTAACAGACTGCCCATAAGACAGTCTCAGAGCTAAAGGCAACTGCTTAAGTGAAAACCACGTGAGGGAGCAAAGTTTCTGTACTTAAAACCAATTCAGTGTGCACTTTTCCCTAAGGGGATAGGAAAAGAACTCACTCTTTTCTGGTATGGTAAGCCCAAAGAACCACCTGGGCACTGATCTTGTACCTGCCCCCGCCAGGCTCGGATTTTCCAGTTGCCCTTCTGGCAAATCCTGGTGCTAAACCAGATGGCGCTGGCTGTGGCCACATAAGAAAACTGGCAGGGCCTCAGCCTGCCAAACACACCTTGTGACCCAGACAGAATTTTTGTCTCCTTGGGCTTTGCAGAACAATTCTGGAATCCTACATCTTCTCAAGAAACGTTGCCTTACCACGGCAGGCAAGAAGACCGCCCAGATTTTCTCAATCAGTCCCAGTTTTAAATATTCTGCTCACTGTCACCATAAACCAAATCAGAATATTTTCAATTTCAAACTACACTCACTGTGTACCTTTGGGCAAATTATTTAACATCTCTGAGCCTCAGTATCCTCCTTAGCAAATAGGAATACCAACAGGATTTACCTCCAAAGTTTTTGTATTAAGTGAGATAAGCAAGCCAGGCACCCAGCGCGTTATTAGCAGTATCGCCTCCAGGGGCATAACAAAAACCAGTTACCAAATTACCAGTGCCCAGTTTTGGTAGTACAGTGTTGCCTGGAGGAAGCAGACCTCTGGGTTAGGAACGCCCTGTCCATTCCTTCTGTTTCTCCCTAAATGTCTCACCCACTGGCAGGGTCCATATCTATTCCTGTAGTTTATAGCTTATCAAAGTCCAATCTAAACCTGGAGTGGGGACAATTCACTTGAAAGCACTTTAAGGTTTCCCACTTTAGTAAGTTTCAGAAGCTCTCACTAAATATGACCTGAGTGGGGCTGAGGAGGGGGAGCGTGATGACGCTGGGTCACCTGAGGAAGGGCAGTGCTCTGTAATGGGAGTCTGGGGGTGCCAACCCCCTATTGGCCAATTCATAATTTGTCTGAAGTATGCTTTATTCTAGGTTTACAGAATTTTAGGAGGGAGACTTAGGATTAAACAGGTTTTTCCTTTTTAAAATTAACTTTTTAATTGCGTGTCCAAACCTTAAGAGTATAATTCAATGAATTTTTATAAAATAAACAGGCTTTTAAGAAAAAAAATTCTACTAGTTCCTAGGATTCTTTAGGGCCAGAACTGAAACCAACGCTTGCTGACTTGACCCTCCACTAACTGGAGCATTCCTTTCATAGAACTACACCCTTGGCTTGCCCGGAGGCTGGGGAAAGGGAGAAAAACAGAAAGTCACTGGGTCCCACAGGCACACTGCCCGCTGACTTTCTTCCTGGTCATTCCTTACAGTGTTGGGTTAACATGTTAATTAACATCTCGAGCCTCAGTTTCCTCAGACGTAAAATGAAAGTAATAGTTTACCTGATGTTGGAAGGATTATATGTGATAACGTGTTTTATAAAGGTCTTGTAAATGACATCTAGTGTCATTATTCCCAGTGGCCAGACTTACAAGCCCACCATAGAAGAATCCAGCTCAAGGGGCTTTCACATTTTCCTCATGAGGAGATATTTTTTTTTTTTTAAGATTTTATTTTTTTCCTTTTTCTCCCCAAAGCCCCCAGTACATAGTTGTATATTCTTCATTGTGGGTCCTTCTAGTTGTGGCGTATGGGACGCCACCTCAGCGTGGTTTGATGAGCAGTGCCATGTCCGTGCCCAGGATTCGAACCAACGAAACACTGGGCCGCCTGCAGTGGAGCGCGCGAACTTAACCACTCGGCCACGGGGCCAGCCCCCATGAGGAGATATTTTTAATTTCCTCAAAATCTTTTGTTGGGGGCCAGCCCTGTGGCCTGATGGTTAAGTTCGGTGCACTCCACTCTGGTGGCCCAGGTTCAGTTCCTGGGCATGGAACTGTACCACTTGTCGGCAGCAATGCTGAGGTGGTGACCCACATACAAAATAGAGGAAGATTGGCATGGATGTTAGCTCAGGGCAAATCCTCCTCAAGCAAAAAGAGGAAGATTGGCAACAGATCGAGGAAGATTGGCTCAGGGCAAATCCGCCTCAGCAAAAAAAAAAAAATCTTTTGATTGCCACCAAAAGGGAGGAGGGCTTGCAGCTGCCAGCCAGGCAATCTCACTTCCTTGCTAGGAACCCTGCGTGACACAGGGGGCAGGTGTAGCTGCAGCATCAACCAGCCTGGTAACAGGCTGACTACAGCCTCATGGTGAGCCTGTCACACAGCCCTGCTCCAATTTCATAATGGATGTCTGGAGACCACAGTGCTTGCAAGTGAGGAGAATTCCAGCCACTATCTGGAACTCAGTGGCCTGAACATTGTAGGTCTATAGGTATTGGTTTAGGAAGGAAATATAATTTCTATTTGTATTTTTTAATTTAAAAATTGACTATGGGAGGAGAAATGGGGACTTGTTTAAAGAGTACAGTTTCAGTTTTGCAAGATGGAAAGAATTCAGGAGACTGGTTGCCCAACAATGTGAATGTACTTAACACTATTGAACTGTACACATAAAAATGGTTAAGATGGAGAGCCTGCATAGCCAAAGCAATCCTGAGGAAAAAGAACAAAGCTGGAGGTACCACAACCCCTGCCTTCAAAATATGCTACAAAGCTACAGTAGTCAAAACAGCAGTGTACTGGCAGAAAAACAGACACATAGATCAATGGACAGAATCGGGAGCCCAGAAATAAACCCACGCATCTATGGACAGCTAATATTTGACAAAGGAGCCAAGAACATACAATGGAGAAAAGAAAGTCTCTTCAATAAATGATGCTGGGAAAACTGGACAGCCACATGCAAAAGAATGAAAGCAGAGCATTAGCTTACACCAGACACAAAAATTAACTCAAAATGGATTAAAGACTCAAATGTAAAATCTGAAACCATAAAACTCCCAGAAGAAAACATAGGCAGTATGCTCTTTCACATTGGTCTTAGCAGTATCTTTTTGAATATCATGTCTCCTCAGGCAAGGGAAACAAAAGAAAAAATAAACAAATGGGACTACATCAAACTAAAAAGTTTCTGCACAGCAAAGGAAACCATCAACTAAATGAACAGACAATCCACCAACTTGGAGAAAATATTTGGAAATCATATATCTGATAAGGGGTTAATATCCAAAATATATAAAGAACCTATACAACTCAACAACGACAACAAAAACAACCCCATCAAAAAACGAGCAGAGGATATGAATAGACATTTTTCCAAAGAAGATATACAGGTGGCCAACAGGCACATCAAAAGATGTTCAACGTTACTATTAGGGAAATGCAAATCACAACTACAATGAGATATCACCTTACACCTGTCAGAATGGCTATTATTAAAAAGACAAGAAGTAACAAGCATTGGAGAGGATGTGGAGAAAAAGGAACCCTCATACACTGCTGGTGGGAATGTAAATTGGTGCAGCCACTATGGCAGACAGTATGGAGATTTCTCAAAAAAATTAAGAATAGATCTACCATATGATCCAGCTATTCCACTTCTGGATATTTATCCAAAGAACATAAAAACATTAATTCAAAAAGATACATGCACCCCTATGTTCATTGCAGTAATATTCACAATAGCCAAGACTTGGAAGCAACTTAAGCACCCAACAACAGATGCATGGTATATATAAAAAAATATATATACAATGGAGATTCACTTTTTGCCACAGGAAAATAATAGATGATCATGGGCCTTTGGAATCACTTGGAACCAATTAAAACCTTGAATGTGAAATCAAGAAATGCTAAAGATCCATTATGATAATCAAAATATTTAGAATTTTGAGAAGCTTTTTATGTTGGTAACAATTTTTTAAAAATATCATGTATTGCGGCTGGCCCCATGGCTGAGTGATTAAGTTCACGCGCTCCACTTAAGTGACCCAGGGTTTCGCCAGTTCAGATCCTGGGTGCAGACATGGCACTGCTCATCAGGTCATGTTGAGGCAGCATCCCACATGCCACAACTAGAAGGACCCACAACTAAAAAAATATACCACTATGTACTGGGGGGATTTGGGGAGAAAAAGAAAGAAAGATTGGCAACAGTTGTTAGCTCAGGTGCCAATCTTAAAAAAAAATCATGTGTCTAGATATCAATAGTTTATGTGATGTTATAAATGAAATAATTGCCTTCAACATTCCATAGAAACATGTTTTAAGCTTCCTGAAGGCCTGTAGCATGTCTTCTTCAGCTTTTTATCTCTTATGGTATCAAAGTTAGTGCCTTTCACAGAGTAAATGCTCAGTCAATATTTGAGTTTAATTATGTATGCAATTTGTTGACTTTTCTCCCCTAGTACAGTTGAATTTATGGTAGAAGCAATCAAATTAAGCAGATTCAATCTTACTAAACTCTTTAAAGTTAAATAAACTGTGGCCTTAAAATTCAATGACATGGTGTCTTCCATGGTAGGACTATAGCATTTGGTCTTTTCTAGTGGATGTTAAGGAAGTATAGGATTTGGAGCCTTCACTAACATCGTTGTATTGAATGTTTTTTGGTTATTTCTCTAAGCAGTAAAACCTGATACCTGTAATTCCTTTTATTTTTTTATTTCTATGTATCCCTACAATAACAAGTTTAAAAAATTGTCAGGTTTTAAAAATCTTTTCTTGACATACATTAAAATAACTAACATTTTTATTATAGTATTTTTCAAAATACTGATGTATTTCACTTTTTCTTTTTCTCTTTTGATTGCTATAGGATCTTGGTCTCACTACTTTTTGGGAAGACCAGCTTTCCTCTCTCTTATCACCAGCTTTGGCTTCTTATGAATTTGAGAGTGCAACAAGTATATCTGCAGGCAATGAAGAATTTCAAGATGCGGTGAGGAAGGCTGTACCTGATGGTCACACGTTTAAAGGGTTCCCAATACATTTTTCGTGTAGAAATGCAAAGCTTGCATTTGCCACGTGTCTTTGGTAAGATGGAACTTATGAATTCACTAATGTTTCTGGCTTAGGAATCTCAGCAATCAGTCTGGTAGTTATTTAGGAATGACTTCAGAATCACACGGGGAGCTATTATAATGACTTCTCCTCGCATAGATTCTGCTTCATTAGGTCTGAAATGTAGCTCTAGATAGTTGGGGTAATTTTGTCAGCGATTTTGGTGCAATCTCAGTTGAGGATCTCTGATCTCGTCTAGCGTAATTTTTTAAATTTATAGACTATGAGGAAATAGTCTATACTTTGAACAGTGCGACCAAAATTACAGAGCCGTTGGTAACACATGATCTTAAAAAATTATTTTAAATACTGACTGACCTGGGAACAAGAAAGTAAAACCTATGTTCACTCGTTAATTGAATAATTTCTTCTGTAGGTCTCGTTTCCGTGAAGAAATAATCCGTTGCCGTGGAGACCAGGTGCGACTGGCAGCTCTGGTCCTAGCGTTTACTTATCCTGAACATGAGTACGCTGTTTGGGTTTCGTTTGCTGGTAAACCTCCCGGCTGGGGCGGGGCGGGGCCGGCAGCGCCATTACGTCACTTCGGGCGGGCACGGGGCGGGGCTGGCGGCGCCATTACGTCACCCCGGGAGGGCGCGGGGCGGAGCCGGTAGCGCCCTTACGTTATCGGGGGCGGGCGCGAGCGAGGCCGGTAGACGCCGTTGGGTTGCTAAGTGGGCGGCGGCAGCGTCCTGGTTGGGACGGTTGCGGCTTTTCCGCCCCTCTGCGCCCTGCCACAGTTACCCGGGTCCTTGCCTCGCTCCCTCTTTGTTCCCCGCAGGGCTGCGCGGCCGGAGTGGACGCAGCTGTTCGGGATGAGGAGGCGGCGGCGCAGAGACGACGCTTCGGAGCTGAAGAGACGCAGCGCCGATCCCCGGGATGGCTCAGCCGGAGGGCGAGATGGGGGGTCGCGGGTGCGGCTTGGGTCCCGCAGGACGCGCTGAGCCTGGGGGAGATCCCGCGGGTCTGCGACCCGCCCATCAACGAGGAGCAGGCGTGGACCGTGGGCTACCAGCGCTGCGGCTGCCGGCCGCCGCCAGCCCCGCCGCCGTGAGCGCCGGGCCGCGCAGATCCTCGTCCTGAGGGACGGCGTGGTCACCCCGGCCCCGGAGAGCCGCCCCCGCCTCAGGTGAGGCCGCCGCCCCGCCGCTCCTTTTTCCTCAGTAGTTCCGAGTCCGGCTCTTCCGCCCCGCGACTCTCTATCTCCCATTGGAGGACCCCGCAGCGGCCCCCTTTTCCCTCGCAGCCCCGGGCCCCGTCCTTTTCACCGCGAGCCCCCACCTTCCACGAGAGGACCCCAGCCGCGGCTACCCGCCCGCTCAGCTCCAGGCTCGTGAGCCTAAGGGACCCCCCCCCCCCCTCACGGGAGACCCGGGAGGAGCCGGGCCTGGGGCCCGCGGGGGAGGGCAGTGCGGGCGCTGTGGCCGAGCGGGGTCTCACGGAGGTCAGAGCACGGCGTGGGGGGCGGCCAGCGGCACAGAGAGGGGCTGTGAGGAGGGCGCCCGAGTGGGCCTGGGCCTGCGCCCCCTGTAGGGCCGCCGACCCGCCCGGAGCGCTGGTAACTGCGCGGACGGTCGTAGGTCAGCTGCCCGCGGCTGGTTTGGAAAATGGGGAGGCGGGGTGCTGGGTCCTTGTCCTAAGCGCTGTGCGCTTGCTTACCTGCCATGGCTGTTTACTGGGGGTTGTATTTGTGATGTGATGGTGCTATAAATGGTTCGCGTGAGATCTTGTTAGGGATAGTTAATTCTGACGTTAGAATAATTACATCTTTCCGAGTAAGTAGTCAACTAATAGTATTTTTAAAAATTTGGCAATAATGTACCTTTCGTTTGGAAATACAAAGAGATCTGAGCCCTGAGGAGACTTCTTCTGTTTTAGGAGAAATGCAAGACAAGTCTAAATGATTTTTAGCTCCTAAAAACTAAAAATAAGTCCTGTTTTTATGTTAAAATTTGTTGTGATGGAAAAAGAGCTTGTAAGGTAAAAGGTTGACAGGATGTCAGATGTATAGAATGGATTTTAGTTAGGTCATTGTCTAATGTAAATTCTTCAAGATTATCACCTATACATGAACATAAGCTGGGGCTTACGTCAAATATTTATTGCTGCTGAAGGGGGTTAATAATAGGTTTCTCCTATCAGTTTTTATCTAATTCAGTCTTTTGAGAGGGGAAGAGGCAGAATTCCCCCCCTTCCCTTTCCTTCTGGTTCTTATAAGCAGGTCAAAGAATTAAAATGACGTGAGGCAGGTTAGCAGGAGAAAATTAAACAAGTTTAATAACATGCATACATGGGAGAAACCCAGGAAAACTAAGCAACTTGCCAAAATGGCCAAAGCTGCCACCTTAAATACTGTGTTCAGCTAAAGAGGAAGCGTGATGTTGGGGGTAGTGGTTTGGGACTTCAGAGGCAAGGAAGACAGTTTATATGGAGGTGGAAATGCAAATGTTTGCTAAACAAGTTTTTGCTAGGTCCTCTATAGACAGTGTGACCATTATAGAACTGTGACCATTAAGTTTGATGTTAGTTGTAGGTTTTTTGTAGATGTTCTTTATCAAGTTGACGAAGTTCCCCCTCTCTTCCTAGTTTGCCAAGAGCTTTTTCTCATGAATGGGTGTTGGATTTTGTTTCATGCTTTTTCTGCATCTATTGATAGGATCATGTGATTCTTCTTCTTTAGCCTGTTGATGTGATGGATTACATTAATTGACCTTTGAATGTTGAACCAGCCTTGCATACCTGGAATAAATCCCGCCTGGTCATCGTGTATAATTCTTTTTATACATTGTTGGATTCAATTTGCTGATATTTTGTTGAGGATTTTTGTATCTATGTTCATGAGAGATCTATTGGCTATAGTTTTCTTATAATCTCTCTGTCTGATTTTTTGTATTAGGGTCATGCTTACCTCATAAAATAAGTTAGGAAGTATCTTCATTGTTTCTATCTTCTGAAAGAGATTGTGGAGAACTGGTATAATATCTTCTTAAATGTTTGTAGAATTCACCACTTAACCCATCTAGGCCTAGTGCTTTTTGTTTTTGGAAGGTTATTAAGTGTTGATTCAAGGTCTTTAATAGAAATAGACCTATTCATATTGTCTATTTCTATTTGTATGACTTTTGATAGATTATGTATTTTAAGGAATTGGTCCCTTTCATCTAAGTTATCACATTGTGGTCACAGAATACTTTATATCCTTCCTTTATTACCGTTTTAATGCCCGTGGAATCTATAGTGATGTTCTCGCTTTCATTTTCTGATTTTAGTAATGTCTTTTTTTTTTTTCCTCAGATAGCCTAGCTAAAGGCATATCATTTTTATTGATCTTTTCAAAGAACCAGCTTTTGGTTTCCTTGATTTTCTCTATTGATTTCCTGTTTTCAATTTCATTGATTTCTCTAACTTTTATTTCTTCTTTTCTGTTTACTTTGGATTTAATTTGCTCTTCTTTTTCCTTAGATGAAAGATTAGATTTTTGACTTTTAGATCTTTATTTCTTTCTAATTTATGCATTCAGTGCCATAAATTTCCCTCTAAGTACTGCTGTTGCTATATCCTAAAATTTTGATAAGTTGTATTTCTATTTTCCTGTAGTTTTAAATATTTTTAAAATTTCTCCTGAGATTTCTTCTTTGACCCAAGTGTGTTTTGTTTTCTTTTGAGGAAGATTAGCCCTGATGCTAACATCTGCCACCAATCCTCCTCCTCCTTCTGAGGAAGAGTGGCCCTGAGCCAACATCTCTGACCATCCTCCTCTACTTTATGTGGGGGATGCCTGCAACAGCATGGCCCGACCAGTGGTGCATAGGTCCATGCCCAGGATCTGAACCAGCAAACCCTGGGCTGCCGAATTGGAACGCATGAATCTAACCACTGCACCACCGGGGCAGCCCCAAGAAGTGTGTGTTTTAATCTTCACATATTCTGGGATTTTTCCAGCTGTCTTTCTCTTACTTATCTTTAGTTTAATTCCATTGTGATCTGAGAGCATACATTGCATGATTTCTGTTCTTTTGAATTTTTTAAGGTGTGTTTTATGGCCTAGAATGTTATCTGTCTTTGTGAATGTTCTCTGTGAACTTGAGATGAATGTGTATTTTAGATATTGTCAGATGAAGTATTGTATAAGATGTAGCAAGTTGATCGATGTTACTGTTGAATTCAACTATGTACTTTCTGATTTTCTGCCTTATGCATCTGTCCATTACTGATGAAGGGGTGGTGAAGTCTCCAACCATAATAGTGGATTCATCTGTTTCTCCTTGCAGTTCTATCAGTTTTTCCCTGACATAGTTTGATGCTCTATTGTTAGGCACATACACATGAAGGATTGTTAAGTCGTCTTGAAGAATTGACCGCTTTATCATTACGTAATACCTTTCTTTACCTTCAGTAACTTCCCTTGCTCTGTCTGAAATTAATATAGCTACTCCCACTTTCCTTTTTTTTGAGGAAGATTAGCCATGAGCTAACATCTGCCACTAATCCTCCTCTTTTTGCCAAGGAAGACTGGCCCTAAGCTAACGTCATGCCCATCTTCCTCTACTTTGTGGGATGCCTGCCACAGCATGACTTAACAAGCGATGCATAGGTCCGCACCTGGGATCAAAACTGGTGAACCCCAGGCTGCCAAAGTGGAATGTGTGAACTGAACCGCTGCACCACTGGGACAGCCCCCTCCCACTTTCTTTTGATTAATATTAGCATGGTATATCTTTCTCCATCCCTTTACTTTTAATCTATATGTATCTTTATTTCTAAAGTGGGTTTCTTGTAGACTACCTATTAGTCAGGTCTTGTTTTGTGATCCACTCTGACAGTCTGTCTGGTAATTGATGTATTTAGACCATTGACATTTGAAGTGATTATTTATCATTTTGGATTGATAGTTGGATTACTTTCCACTGTATTTTTTTGCTGTTTTCTATTTGTTGCCCATGTTCTTTGTTCCTATTTTTGTCATCCACTCTTTTTCTGTCTTTGTGATTTTAATTGAGCATTTTATATTATTCTGTTTTCTCTCCTTTCTTAGTTTCTTTTTTACTTTTTTTAGTGGTGCCCTAGAATTAGCAATATACATTTACAACTAATCCAAATCCACTTTCAGATAACGCTGTGCTGCATCACAGATAGAGTAAGTATAATAACAAAGTATGTCTAGTTCCTCCCTCCTCTCCCTTATATCATTGCTGTCATTCATTTCACTTACACATAAACCATGATCATTGAGTATATTGTTGCTGTTATTATTTTGTACAAACTGTTATCTGCTAGATCAATTAAGAATAAGAAAAATAAAAGTTTTTATTTTACTCTCATTTATTCCTTCTCTAATGCTCTTCCTTTCTTTGTGTAGATTCCAATTCTGATCTATATTTTCCTTCTTTCTGAAGAATGTCTGTTAACATTTCTTGGAAGGTAGGTCTACTGGCAACAAATTTCCTCAATTTTTGTCTGAGAAAGTCTTTATTTTTCCTTCATTTTTGAAGAATAATTTCACAGAGTACGAAATTCTAGGTTGGTGGTTTTTATCTCAACATTTAAAATATTTCACTCCACTCTCTTCTTGCTTACGTGGTTTCTGAGAAGTCAGATATAATTCTTATCTTTGCTCCTCTATAGATAAAATGTTTTTTTCCTCTGGCTTCCTTCAGGATTTTTTCTTTACTTTGACGTTCTGAAATTTGAATGGTTTGCCTAGGTGGAGATTTTTTGGCATTTTCTCCTTCTTGGTGTTCTCTGAGCATCTCGGGATCTGAGTTTTGGTATCTAACATTAATTTGAGGGAAATTCTTGGTCACTAATGCTTCAAATATCACTTCCGTTCATCCCTCTCTTCTCCTTCTAGTTTCTCACTACACACATAGTATACCTTTTGTAGTTGTCCCACAGTTTGGGAGTATTCTGTTCTCTTGTCTTTCAGTCTTTTTTCCTTTGCTTTTCAGTTTTAGAAGTCTCTATGGTCATATCCTCCAGCTCAGAGATTCTCTCCTCAACCATATCCACTCTACTAATGAATGAGCCCACCAAAGGCATTCTTTTATTTTTGTTACAGTATTTTTGATTTCTAGTATTCCTTTCTGATTCTTTCTTAGAATTTCTTTCTCTGCTTACATTATCCATCTC